TTCATACGGATCTAGAGGAAAAACTTAGAAATTTTCACCAAACCCATGTCTTGGAGGAGGCAAGGGAAGAATGCCATTTTAAAAAAAAAAATCCCAAAAAACCCAACATGTCTTTTTTTTTTTTTTAAACATCTTTATTGGAGTATAATTGCTTTACAATGGTGTGTTAGCTTATGCTTTATAAACAAAGTGAATCAGTTATACATATACACATGTCCCCATATCTCCTCCCTCTTGTATCTCCCTCCCACCCTCCCTATCCCACCCCTCTAGGTGGTCGCAAAGTACCGAGCTGATCTCCCTGTGCTATGCGGCTGCTTCCCACTAGCTATCTATTTTACATTTGGTAGTGTATACATGTCCATGCCACTCTCTCACTTTGTCCCAACTTACCCTTCCCCCTCCCTGTGTCCTCAAGTCCATTCTCTACATCTGTGTCTTTATTCCTGTCCTGCCCCTAGGTTCTTCAGAACCATTTTTTTTTTTTATTCCATATATATGCGTTAGCATACGGTATTTGTTTTTCTCTTTCTGACTTACTTCACTCTGTATGACAGACTCTAGGTCCATCCACCTCACTACAAATAACTCTATTTCGTTTCTTTTTACGGCTGAGTAATGGAACCCCTCTTGCACTGTTGGTGGGAATGTAAATTGATACAGCCACTATGGAGAACAGTATGGAGGTTCCTTGCAAAACTACAAATAGAACTACCATACGACCCAGCAATCCCACTACTGGGCATATACCCTGAGAAAACCAGAATTCAGAAAGAGTCATGTACCACAATGTTCATTGCAGCACTGTTTACAATAGCCAGGACGTGGAAGCAACCTAAGTGTCCATCGACAGATGAACGGATAAAGAAGCTGTGGCACATACATACAATGGAATATTACTCAGCCAAGGTGTTTTTAAAGTGGCAGCTGTCATATGAAGAGTGAGCCATCTCAAGGTTGCCACACCCACCAAAGACAGAACTGCCACTGAATAATGCCCCTACCCCGCAGGGCTCCCGGTTAGCAAAGAGAGGGAGAGGGCGATGGGGAGGGAGAGGAAAATGGATGGCGGAGCAGGATAAAACGAGGCTGACAGTAGGACATGGCATTCTGGGAACGCAAGGAAGTAATTTACTAAGGGAAGTGGAGCTGGGCGTCTTGGGGGTGGAAGATGTTGTGAATTCCTATTCTTGAAATCGCTTGAAACGACTGCAGTTGTGTAACGGAAGGGACAGATGGGATAAAGTAGTCCCAGGTCTGTTTCCCAGGTGAGGAAATGAACGTCTGCGAAGCAAGCCAGCCCCATCCCCCAACCGTTCTCAGGACCAGAACACAGGTCACCCAATCACCAGCCTCCGAATCAACCTCACTCACACCCACGGCATCTCCAGCCAGGGGTTCAGAGAACACAGCCTGAGAAGCCCTGTGACGTCAGAACAGCACTAGGCACGCTTTACAACCAGAGCCAAAGTAACTCCCATCTGTGACCCTGACACTGTTGCCCCCACGGCCAGCCTGGCCCCCTAACGCTCGGGTCCCCGTGTAAACGCTCAGCCTTCGGCACAGACAGAGCCCTGACACCATCCCTGTGAGCGCGCCCCGCTCGGCAACACCGTCACCAACAGGAAAGAGGCTGTCCCGAGGGTTTGCCTCCCAGCCCCACACCGGAGCCTCTGGGAGCAGAACCCCACGCCGTCCCAGCACGGGTAACACCCACCACGGACAGGGCGCTCCGGCCTCTTCAGGGCAGCTGGGCAACGTTTCGTGGCCGGGCCCTGGCTCCCACCAGCTTGGTCCTCTCATCCTCCAGTGGGTTAGGGGCAGAGAAGATGAAGCCCCTTCCGTTTCAACTCGAAATCAGGATCTTCTTTCTGAGTGCTCTCAACTTTCTTCATAAAAGATCCGTTCAGTCAAGGGTAAGAAGCAGACTTCTGACAGCTTTCTGGAAAGAGCACCGAGGCAACTGGGTGACAATGTTTTGATGACGTTCTTTTTTGTTTTTTTCTTTTTTTGGCCTCATCGCGAGGCATGTGGGATCTTAGCTCCCCCAACCAGGGATCGAACCCACACCCCCTGCACTGGAAGGCGGAGTCTTAACCACTGGACCACCGGGGAAGCCCCGATGACCTGATGACCTTCTTATAGAAACAGAGGGCTCCACAGAGGCACTGAGCTCAACAACACAGGGAGATCTTCTGTTACAAGATGATGCTTGAGCTGCTCCACCCAGCGGGCCACTGCTCGGGCCTGGGCCACCTGAGGACTGACCCAGACAGGCCACATCTGCCCATCCCCGAGAGGAGGGGCTGGAGAATGTATTTAGTTCCTTGATGCCCGTGTGATGGAGGCAGACAGTGGGAAATTCGGGAGTGAGGTCCCACTGTGGACCCTCCATCCGTGGCACCAAGCTGGGTACACACACCTGATGACGTCACTCCCAACCCTCACAGCAGCCGCGAAAGATCGGAATGATCATCTCCATCTCACAGAGAAGCACACAAAGGCTCAGAGAGTCTGACTATCTTGCCCTCAGCTTCTCAGCCAAGATTCAGACCCAGGTGAGTGCGACCCCAAGACCCAGGTAAGAGACGGGCTCTTGGATTTACATATCCACTGTATGTCCTCAAGATGTTTGCAACTGAGCTGGAAAGACAGGCGACACGTTCAAAGACAAATGGACATTCTAGACCAGCCTGTCCAATGGACCTTTGTGCGATGGCGGAAATGTTCTATGTTCTGTGCTGTCCAGGAACCACACACAGCCACTGGCTATTTGATGTGTGGCTAGGGCAACGGAGAATCTGAATTTTTAATTGTATTTCATTTAAGTTAATTTGAACTTAAGGGGCCGCTGAATGTCCATATCGGACAGCGTAGTTAGAGATATTTTCTACCAAAAACATTCAGAAAACAGAACGATCATAGCAGGCTTCATGCAGGACAGAGGCTCCAGGCAGGCCCTTGATGTGCTAGGATTTGAACAGGACCCTTGTTTCAGGCATGATCATCTTCCCTGCAGAATATGGTTTGGAGTCAAGGACCCCAGAAATCAAGCCCAGTGCCCGTGGTCGTGGTCCACAGATGAGGAAAGCAAGGAAGCTCCTCCCGCGTCCTTGTTCTTCTTGGAACTGCCTTACGTGGCAGCACAAGGAACCCTCGTCCGCCCCCCGCCACTGCCCTCCTGGAGGCCTTCCTCTACTCCTTGCCCTGCGCCCTCCCTGCCAACACCAGCAGGTGCTGGGCTCGAGCTCTCTTTAGAAACCTGGACATCTTCTGTTCTACTTGTGGGCTGAGTCATTCCTCTCCTGCGATGGCTTTCACGTGCTTTATTCTCTTACACCTGTCACTCTGAGAATGGCATGTCTTGAAACAGTAAACAGCACCACTCACAGAGAGACAGCTCCACCACCCCAACACACAATCCCAACTACAGGAAACAGAAGCCCTCCGTCACCGCTGGCCCTGCACAGTGCTGGACCCCAATCCCGAGAGCGGGCCACTGTATCTGTCTGACTCCATTCTTTCCCATATGAAGGTACACCCAAGGCAACGGCTGGGCCTCCTAGTACTGAATCTCCTGTCTCTGACATCCCAGTCACCGCCTGCCTACTAGTTGCAGAGATGTTGACAAATCTTCGGCTGTAAGACCAGATCAGCAAACAGGGTTCCCGGCACGGCAATGACCTGTCCTTCAGGCCAGGCCCCTGCATGCCCAGCTCTCAGACAGGTGGCTCTGTCTGCACAGTGGGGCACTTGAAACCTCTGTCCCCAGTTTTCATTTCTAGCTCACGCAGCTGCCACATGCTTCACTCACTTCCAAGAGTATTCCTTCCAAGCATTAATAACAGCCACAGGAACCCTTACATTCTCTAGCTTAAGGGATATAGATCATGTAGGGTTGTAGGTTGTTTTTTGGCCAGGAGGGGGTCATCTGTTTTTAGTCCTTCCAGCTGTGGGAAAGGGAACCTCTATCTACCTTCCCCAAAAAAGCGCAGACATACAATTTCACCTTCTGTACTCCGAGGACTAAGGTTCTTTGGGCTGCAGTGAAGATGGTGTATGTCCTTCTAAGATGACACTCAAAATGAGGCCAGCCTTTGCATGTGGGATCACTGTGTGGTTGAGCTCACCACACACTTGAGACCCAAGACCCCACCAAGCAGGGAAGGAAGACGCCCCCAAGACCTGAGAATTCCATGTCAGGGTTGACAAAGTGGCCACAGGCCTGGTACATCCCACAGCTCGCGAGCTAAGAATGGTTTTAAAGTTTTAAAGGATTATAAAAATCTTTTAAAATATACTATAGATGCAGTAACGAGTCTGCAAAGCCTAAAATATTGCTGTCTGACCCTTCCTGGGACAAGGTTGCTGACCCCTGGTCTAAATGAGCAGGACCTCAGCCGTCCAGAGGGTACCTGCCGTTTCCTGAGCTGAGTGCTCAACATTCCAAGTCCTCTTCATCCCCCTATGTTAGTTTTCCCTTTAAGTTCAGAAACAGATATAAAATGTTCTGAGGAAAGGCACAAGAGCTATCAAACATAATAGCTGATAAACAAACGTCCACTTCTTCCAAGGAGCTCAACATCACAGGTGAGGATCTGGTTCAACGCCTGTGCCTTTACTGTGACAGAAACAAGGCTCCGATTAACAACCAGCCAGAGACAATTCCAGGCATCAAAGCGAAGACGCCTCAGAACGTCTTCACCCATCCTGCTGCTGACGCAGTGATCCTCTGGGTAGCCCCAGCACCCACATTTGATAACGGTGGGGGCTTCTCCCCCACTGTCCGAGGGAAAGAAAACAGAGGCAGAAACACACTTGAATTGTCCCCTGGGATCTTGCCTTGGAGTTTCTTAGACACCTGCCCCTAAATATCCTCAGAGTCTCTCTGGATTAGAACTCAAAGGAAAAACACAGCATCCAGCTCTTCCTGGGCTTCCACAAGAGGGAACGGCAGCCCGGCCTGCAGCGCGAAGCCCCCAGCGCAGCCACCGTCTTACCTGGTTCAGTGCAGTTCTTGCTGCTCCGCGGCCCTGCATCTTCTGAAGTCAGCGAGTCATTCACCTGCATTAACTTCCTCCCAGCGGTCCACTGTCTGTCTTGCCCGATGAGGTCCATGAAGTCAAGGTCTGGGGAGAAAAACGTCACAGCCACGCATCACTAACAGCTGGGTGTCACCTGTCCCCAGGCTGGATGCCCAGCGCCTTCAGCCATCGGCACTCAATCCGGTCAACGCCCCTTAGACCTCTCACCACCGTCGCTCACCATCCTGCCCCCACCTCCCAAGGGCTTCCTCGGCTCCTGGATCCTACTGGCTCCCACAGCAGCAGCCCTCAGCCAACGGCTGGGAGGGGGCGGTGTATAAACACCTCATGCTCCAGTGGGATGACTCTGAAGTGTGTGTTCTACCCTGGAATCCAGTTTTCTCCACTGGGATGACTCTCCAGGTGTCTACAAGGTGACTCTCCTGATAAAACACACTTTATTGGCCGCTGTCCTTTCCTGTCTTAATTCCCTGCACCCAATAACATGCTGAGAAATGTTGAACAACCAACTCTCCAGGGGAAAAAGTCCTGGTCTTGTATCCATTGGACAACTTCCATGGTGTAAATATTCCCATCATGGCCAATTTCGAGCTACCAACGTGATCTCACTGAACGTGGACTTGGGAAAAAAGGGCACGGTTGGGTCCGCTAAGTCAGGGTGACTGGCACCTACCCACCAGCATCTACTCCTTGACCAATACTTCCCTGAACTGCCTCCCAAATGCACCACCTGCCACTGAACACCTGCTCAGGATCTGCTTCTCGGGGTCACCCAGGCTAAGACACCACAACAACACGCCCAGAGCCTGGGCCAGTGAATCCCACATAACGAGATTTCAGTAAACACGAGATGAGAGCGTGAACAAGGGGAAAGTCGATCACTGAATGCGGGACTAGGGCTGAGGTCTCCGGCTGAGATGCCCATGGGGATGGAAGTGCCAGGAGAAAGATCAGAGATGGAAGGGCCCGTCGGGGGAGAATATGGTGGCTTCTGCTTAGGACGTGTTGGATCTAAAGTGTCTGGACCATCCACAGGGCAGTGTGCTGCCCGGGTAATGTGGGTGCAGACACTGCAGGGCGGACAGCTAAGCTACACAGAACATCAGGAGAATCATAAGCAAATAGGGAAGAGTATGGCATGTGTATGGACGCAGTTTCCTAAAGAGAAGGGAATGGAAGAAGAAACCATGGGAAACTCAACATCCCTGCAGAGAGCAGGTAGAGTCAAAACATTCAGCAAAAGATCATGAAAGGAAGGAAAAGATCAAGGGAAGTGGCGTCACAGAAGCTAAAGCAGAAAGAGAATTTCAAAAAGGAAAAAGTGGCCGATGGCCTTGACTGCCATGGACCAATCACGTAAGACAAATGCAAAGACACAACAGAGCGGGACCTCAGAGTGTCACTGGGATGTGGAAACACCAAGCACAGATGGCTCTTTCTATAGTGGCTTGGAACTCAAGAAAGATGTGACATGAGGCTTTGGCTACCTCTCGAGTGTCCAGGGTTGCTGTGGTCAGAAAATGGATCTAAGAACAAGACAAGGTTCTAATTCGTGGGCCCAGCGGCCTCCACAAAAGGCCAGAGGGTGCGCCCCACCGAGCCACACCAGCACAGTGTTCTGAAATGGTCAATGAAGAGCTGAAGGTCATCATACCCTTTCCTCAATTTCCATGGGGATTTTAGTTTCCTAAATGATGTCACTTTCATTATATAATTGGAACCTCATGACAATGCTCAGGAAAGAAAGAGGGAGCCTGGGCACTGTCTCTTTGTCCACTGCTGTCTCTCTGACACCTAATCACTGCTGGCTCAGAGGAAGTACTCAGTAAGTATGTGTCAGAGTAACCATTCCCACTTTGTGGATGGATAAAGTAAAACTCATCGAAGTTTCTGGAAATCACAGCACTTGTGGGCATCTCACCTAAAGCCAACAGGACACACAGTCACATCCGCAGCTCACAAACTGAGGTCTTCCTCAGTCAAATGGAACCTGCTCCACATGTAAAAATTATCAAGTAGCTAATTACAACTTTTACACATTAGCTAGGACAGCCCCTAGGTTTATTCTCCAAAACATGTAGAACGTGGGGCCCAACTAGAATAAGCAATAACTTAAGACTCTAAATACAGAAACCTACATGATGGCCAGATATAGCCATAATTGTGAGGACAATCCCAAAGGTATTTCAAGGTCAAAGCAAGGCATCTGTGTACTCCTGTTCACCTGAATGGTTAATTCTTAGGATTAAGAACAGTGACAAGCAGAGGAAAAAAATTGCAAAAAAACTCATAAACAAGGAATAATGCCTTATTCCTTATAAAAACTCATAAACAAGGAACAATGCCTTAAAATTCAACAGGCAGACCTAAAATGTGAATATTACACCATATCGTTTGTCTCAGGTTGGGTTTCCGCAGAAGCAGCCCCTGAGGACAAGGATTTGAGCACAGGTGGTTTACGTGGGGGGTGATCTCGGGAAGCACCCGTGGTGGAACAGGGCCAGGGAGCCAGCCAATGGAGGTGTGCTTCAAGTCCACTGCTAAAATGGGTGAACTAGCACTTGACCCCTCTGGAAATCTCTGGGGGCCAGTGTAGACGTGCAACTCAGACACCCAAGTGGTGAGGGAGCTGGGGTATTTATCCACCTGCTCTTGGTCTGCCATGGGTTGAATGTAGGCTGTTCCCAGGGGACATTAATTCCCTGGCACTTCCAACCAAAGTGGGCTCTGGTACCCAGTAAAAGGCCTTAGATAATGAGACGCAGGTGCTGAAAGTTGGACGGTGCCCATGTGCACTGAAGACATGAGGACAAAGTGATGCGGGCAGGATGCCGATGGCATCTTCCAGCCTACACGAGACCAACAGATTGGCCGTTCTGCTCTTCTTGTAATCTGGGTTAAAGAAAAGTGCTCTGTGGTGCTGCAATCCTAACATTCAGGAAGATCCCAATGTGCGTTGTTTGTATAGTGGTGAGCATAGCTGCCTTCCAGGAAGATTCCAAAAATCTGCAAAGAAGCAAAAGCATCCCTTCCAGTGACTTGCAAAGTTCCTGCTAAGGCCAAATTTCCATGGTTCTGTAATTCTGAGAGAAAAGCTGATACCAATTAAGAGATATAAAAATAAAGCCAGCTATTGTAGCAGAAAATTAGAGGATTTTTTTTACATGATGATTCAATAGCTTCAGGAATTAGAGACTATTAAGGCAGCGCCTCTGGATTCCAAAACCTACAAACTTTTATCTCAAAAAAATATATATGACCACTGACCACTGATATACAGATGTGGAGACCAGAGTCTGAGAAAATGAGAATGATGAAAGCAAAGCACTGCGTTCACTTACTTCCCACTGAGAACCGTGTGACGATATTACACCCCATTCTCTTTGTCCTCACAAAACTGCTGGTAAGGGACTTCCCTGGTGGCGCAGTGGTTAAGAATCCACCTGCCAGTGCAGGGGACACAGGTTCGAGCCCTGGTCCAGGAAGATCCCACACGCTGCAGAGCAACTAAGCCTGTGCACCACAACTACTGAGCCTGTGCTCTAAAGACCGTGAGCCACAACTACTGCGCCTGCATGCCACAACTACTAAGACCCACGCGCCTAAAGCCGGTGCTCCGCAACAGAAGCCACTGCAATGAGAAGCCCGAGCACCGCAAGGAAGAGTAGCCCCCACTCACCGCGACTAGAGAAAGCCCGTGCAAAGCAATGAACACCCAATGCAGACCAAAAAAAAAAAAAAAGGTCAAAGGAAAAAAACAAAACTGCTGGTAAGGTAGGAAAGAGCAGTTGGTTCTCGGGTCAACTTACCTTTGGAGTAAATAAGTCAGAGTAGAAGTGATCTGCCTAAACTCAGAACCCACCCATGGCCACATCCACTGCCAGTTAATAATCGTCACGACAGCCATTTATTGAGTGTCTATTATGTCCTCTTCTCCATGTTTCATCTTAACATCTTATTTTGAACTGTTAACTCCACTTGCAAATAAGGAAACCGAAGACTTGCCCAAGGTCACACAGCAAGCAAAGAGGAGCAGAATGGGGATGTGACCAGGATCTGACCAGGTCTAGTGACCCCAAAACCCACATTCTTGGTAGATCCCTGCAGAGGATGAAATCCATCTGGCCATATTACTCAGCTATAGCAAGACAGATCCACAATGCAGCCTGCACCTTATACTAGGTGAGGGGTGGAGACAGTCTCACTGGACCTACTTCCCCCAGAAACTATTAGGAACAGTGGCAAGTCAGGAGCATCACCCCGTGAAAGCATCACACACACAAAAGAAAACGGTCCTGAAACCCCACTGGATGCAGGACGCTCAGCTGAGCGTGGATTTCTCAGAGATTCAGCTGGCCCCTTGGTCACAACATGGAGGGTTACAGTCTTGGATTTAGGGAGGAGTGGGTGGGCAGTGGGGAAGGCAGAGGGGATTGAGGGAGGCGCCCGCTGCTCTCCCCTCATCACCCCCCGGCTTCTCTGGACTTCTTGGCTCAGCAGGGGATGCTCCTCGAAGCTACACTTGAGCAATGTCAACAAAAGCCCTTGGCACCCATCCACCGCGTGCCTGGCTCCGCCTGCCAGGCCCCGGAAGTGGCAAGCTGGCCTCAGGGAGGGGGTGGGGGCGGTGAAGAGGAAGGCAGCGGGCTCACATGTCACATGTCACCAGCTCCGAGCAGGGCGGCAGGGGTGGGCCGTGGAGATAGCGCGGGGTGCCTGCTGGAGGGGAAGAGGTTCTCAACTTGAGACTCAAGCACACGCACTAAGGAAGGAGAGAGTATGAGGCTGGGAGCCAAGTTTCCATTACAGAGCTGTGCCCTCGTCCTCTCCTGCTCTCTCCCTCCCTCCCTCTCTCTCTCTCTCTCTCTCTCTCTCTCTCTCTCTGTCTCCCTGTCCCCTTCCGCCTCTCCATGACCAGGGCTTGGAAAGCGCAAGGATTTCTGACCCCAAGAATGGATTTCCTTCGGTGCCCCATGTCCCAGCTTCACCCTAAGACTAACATGCTTTCTCCCATGTGCACCCTCGTCCCACATAGGGTCCCAGGCCCAGCGGAGAGGTGGAGCTGCCACCCTCTGAGGAGGGAA